ATAGTAAAAATGGGGATGTTTATAAAAAATGATGAATTAGAGAACACATTATGGCTGAACTGACCTCTCTTGGAAACGGTGTTGGTGTTGCTCTTGGGGCAGCCCTTTTCCTTATTAGAGCTTCTGCTTTCCCTCGCTACACACTGTCCCCCAAGCTGTACTGGAGTACCAGGCCCGTGCGATGCAGCATCGGCCCCATCTGCAGTGGCATTCACAAGTGTTTGTTGCTGGGTGGGCTGACCATTAAGGGGAATTGGGTTTAGCCCTGTCTGTGATTAATTAGCTGCATCTCAGGTGATGTGTGATGTTTCTGATTGACACACATGGTATACATTGGCACAGTATATCACGAGACACTGGCAAAGCACAAGAAGTTCCTCATAATGGGTACTTAAAAAGAGACCCCAACATTAGAAACAAACAAGCAAATGAATCAACCAACTCCACATTGTATGAATGCACAGACAACCACGGCCGAGAGGACCAGAAGCTGTTGTCAGTGTCACCCCTTGCACAGTGGTGTGAAGGGTTAGGCTGGTCCTTTGTAGGAGATTGGCTTAGATCCATAGTTGTACCCCAGGTGATGGACTTGAGGCCAGGGATCAGGTGACAGCGGGAGTGGGATTTTTAAAGGTATTTATACATTTTTTAGGCACCTGATTGCCTGCAGAATCTGGCCCTTGTACTTTCTGCCTAGTTGGTGGCCAGTATCAAGTGGAGTGCCCCAGGGGTTGGTCCTTGGTCCAGTTTTGTTCAATATCTTCATCAGCAATCTGGAAGATGGCACAGAGTGCACCCTCCGCAAGTTTGCAGATGACACTAAGCTGGAGGGAGTAGTAGATTTGCTGGAGGGTAAGGCTAGGATTCAAAGTGACCTAGACAAATTGGAGGATTGGGCCAAAAGAAATCTCATGAGGTTCAGCAAGGACAAGTACAAAGTCCTGCACTTAGGATGGAGCAATCCCATGTGCTGGGGGCTGACTGGCTGGGCAGCAGCTCTGCAGAAAAGGACCTGGGGGTGATGGTGGACAATAAGCTGAAGACGAGTCAACAGTGTTTCCTTATTGCCAAGAAGGCTAGTGGCATCCTGGGCTGCACTGGTAGGAGAGTTTCCAGCAGGACAAGGGAAATGATTATTCCCCTCTATTCAGCACTGATGAGGCCACATCTGGAGTGCTGTGTTTAGTTTTGGGCACCCCACTACAGAAAGGATGTGGACAAACTGGAAAGAGTCTAGAGGAGGACAATGAAAATTGTTCAGGGGCTAGAGCACATGACTTGTGAGGAAAGACTGAAGGAACTGGGATTATTTAGTCTAGAGAAGAGGAGACTGAGAGGGGACTTAATAGCAGCAGGTGGGTTCGAAAGAGGATGGAGCTGGACTGTTCTCAATGGTGGCAGTTGACAGGACAAGGAGCAGCGGGATCAAGTTGCAGCAAGGGAAGTTTACGTTAGATATTATGATGATCTACTCAGGTCCCTTCCGACCCTAGAAACTAGTAAGAAGAATTTCCTCACTAGGAGGGTGGTAAAACACTGGAACAGGTTACCCAGAGAGGCGGTGCAATCTCCATCCTTGGAGGTCTTGAAGGCCTGGGTAGACAAAGCCTTGGCTGGGTTGATCTAGTTGGGGCTGGTCCTGCTTTGAGCAGGGGGTTGCACTAGATGTGACCTCCTGAGGTCCCTTCAACCATCATTTTCTATGATTCCAAGAGGTAGCTTCCAGAAGCAGGTAGGCTCATTTGTAGGGGTGCTGAGTCAAGGGAAAGGATGTGGTTTACCTGTATGATTTACAGCAAGCTGTTTTGATGTTTAAGAAATCCTGCCCTAAAGAAAGGGACAGAAGGTTTGTGCTGCCAGGAACATCATTTAATGTTGGACAACTGGCTCACTGCCACCTTGTTTCTTCATTGTTCTGACCGCTATCGAACACTCTTCTGCTATGTTTTGTAAGATTATAAGTACACCCCTGCAGCTCTGAGCCATTCAGGTCGTGCACATTCATACTGTTGCATTTATCCACTTGGCTAGTACATTGGTTTGTGCATAATTAAATAAAAATATGGAGAAATAGATGTGCAAAGCCCAGCATTTGCCAAAGGCTAATCTACTGCACTCATTCTTGCCCAGGGCAGGGGGTCGAACCTGATGATCTGTTTGGTCCCTTCCGACCCTAAGCATTATGAAACTGCTGCTGCTTTTGACCTGACTGGCGAGCTAAATTTTGGGGTTGTTGGGTGTTCTGGTAAGGAGGAGAAATTGGTAGTGCAGCTGGGGTATTTTTGATGCACTTCTCTTCAGTTGCAAGAATCCTGCTGACTTACAAAACCCTGCTTTCTCGAGCACACACAAGAGGAACCAGTCAACCAGAGACAGTTCCCCTGCTCACAGCCCCAAGACACTTTCAGACAACTTTCCCAAGCCCAAAGCCTGCTCTATAGGTTTGTTTCAGAGTCATGCACCACTGCTTGTTTCAGGCTGCACTGAAGCTGACTCCTTCTCTCTGTCCCCGCTCCAGCCCCCTGGCCTCTCCACTCAGAGCAGTCCAGTTCCTGAGCAGCATTGCCTTCACCTTGGCTTTGGGCAGAAGCGTGTGTTGAACTGACTATGTAGCTGAAGGGTGGTAGCTTCAACAAGGCGTGACCCAATCTCTAGTGCTATTATGCTAGCCCAGCGCTAATCTTCCCCTTGCCTTTCTATGCATGAAGCTCCACGTGACCTGCTTTGACCACTACCGGGACTTTGTCCCAGTGAGCTGAACACCTAGGGGAATTTCACGTGCTGGGGTTTCTAAAGAGCATCCCACTGTTCAGATACAGTCTGACCCAATGCTAAGATGAAGCTTCTGGTTTCTTCCTCCTTACAGCTGCAGGAAGAAAGGAAACTTCATCGTGCAGCCTTTTACTGCTGATGAGCTTAACCAACAAGCAGCGCCCATTCATTTATCAAGGAAGACATAACAACAAGTATAATGCACCGTGGCCACATGTATAGACAACCCCTGCTTAGGGCTCCTAACTGGTTCCTGAAAAAATGAGCATTAAGCAAAACCAAAAGTTTTTGATGACCGAAGAGGGCAATCGCAAGTGTTTTTAATGACCCAGGATGGCAACCGCAAGCGTTATAGTAAAACTTGCGGAGCGCTAAGTGGAATCAGGTATCAATTATAGTGAGCGTTATAGCAAAATAGTGCTAAGCGAAACAGCGTTAAACGGGGGTTGCCTGTATACTGATATCACTTGTGCCAGCAGAGTTTAGGCCTAAGCCTTTTAGCAAAAATGGGCAGGCAGGCTTCCACCACCTGATCTAGAGGAGAACTTGGTTAACGACAAGAAAGTAGCAGGTGGTTGTGCATGAAGCAGGCAGTCACTAGAAGAAAACAAATGTGTCTATAAAAGAAAGGAACGTTACACGGCAAATACAGTGGGAAGGTACAGTGTTACACAAGTCATCTTTCATAATGGACTGTCACCCATAGCACAAAATTGTTTGCGTTTATGCATGTATGTATGCAAACAAGCTCACACCGACACTGCGTACAATGGTATTTCTTAGGACATATTCCTGGTAAGGTCCTCATCCTGGCAAAATTTGGGTAGTCTGCTATGTTGTTGTATGCGTTGAAACTAATTTTCCCAACTGCTGTTTTCTCAGACCTGCAGACATCAAAATACTAGATCTCTGGTAGGTACCTAATGCCTGAGCCACGACAATATGGTTTTCTTATTCCTCATTTAATCTCAGACAACTGAATCTGCTAGGAGCAATGCTAGATTTAGCAAGAAAAGAGGCAACGGAGTGGAGAATCACACCAAAGCGGCCACATAGTGGTTGGAGTGAAAGCGTCTTGTTTCTGGGCAATCATCAGAAGTACTTCTAAGTGACAGGGTTATCCTATGCCCTTGCCTCTTTCTCACATGATTAGGGGATCCTGTCTGTCAGAGAGGTTGAAGTTAGAAATAAAATTTTTCAGTGAACGCAGTAATCTTTCGTGACCGTGGACGTGTGGTGGGTGGAAAGCCGTATTGCAGCTATCTTGCTGTGATGGGTGTTCACCTGGCAGTGACAGACGCTCTGTATACTATAGCAACTGTAGGGATGTCCTTCAAACGCTCATCTATTTATTTTTCCAACAGCAGCTGATGGAATAGCAGTTTCTGGTCTGCAGTGGGGTGGCCCATTAATATTGGCCCATGGTAGGCAAGGGAAGTGTTCTTGGCTTTTGAAAGAGAAGGCATTTCAGAGCTCATTATGTTTCCAAGTGAGTGAAAAATCAGTGATTTATTGGTGAAAACCCTTGAGGGGGTGACACCACATGAAGCTTCAAGGCAAGGTAAACAGCCCATTGTGGACTACCTTGCAAATTTAGCAGCATTGATACAAGGCCACATTTTGACCCTGGGCTACCGCCCTTGCTGTTAGGGGCAGAAAGGGACCTGCAGCAATTGGAGGCTCTGGAGGATTTCTGGGTAACTCAGGTGGGTGCTCACTATAGGAAGAGGCCTTCCAGTCTTTGACATAGTCCAGTTTACTCTTGCCTTCATCCAACAAACCTGTGTTAGCTGCAGCTGATGGAAAAGAGGACAGGATCTGTGTTAACCCAACCTCCTCAGTGATGTATTTCTAGGGGTGATGTTTGCTGAATGCAACCCCACTGCAGTTTTGCATGCGCTGGGCTCAGAGGCTGGAAGGGGCCTGGAGCTCTCTTCCACTCCTGTGCAGCCCGGCAGGGCTACATGTCTGGTCTATAGAAGGGCAAAGGGAGACATTTGGATTTCCTGGCTGGAAATGTATTGACCTGGCAGAACAGCAATAGGAAGGGCAGATTCTCCCTAGCTTTCTTCTCACAAATAAGGTACCAGTGAAACAAATGCGGTTTGCATCTCAGCAATTAGAGTCTGTATTATAGTCTTGCAATTACAGAAAAGCACTTTCTGTCATTTGATTTGCACAGAGAGAAATGTCTAGGAAGCCGAGTCCAGGATGCTGTCTCTTCTAATGTGCTGTTGTTGTTTTCCTGTTTTGCAGGGTCTTTTCGAAACGATGGCTTAAAAGCGGCTGATGTCCTTCCCATCCTGAAGGAGAAAGTGGCCTTTGTGTCAGGTGAGCACATCTTTCATTTGTCTTCCCTTTAGGGATGCACTGCATCATGCCAATGAAAAGGTGGGAAGCACAGTAGTAGTGCGGATGTCTAGTCTAGTCCTTCACAGTGGTAGACACACACGAAGGATCAGCTTCTGATTTCTCTTCCTTACGCTGATTAATACTCTACGTCATGAGCAGCCCCGTTGATTTCCATATAATTGCATGTAGAGCCAGACCCTGCCCAGTACAAGTGTATTGAAATCTGCCCCTTTTACTTGTGGCTTGCTGTTAAGATAGGCTGGAGGGGCAAAGCTCCGGTCCACTTCCCCAGCATCTCAGCTTTCTGGGATTTCAGATCCAGCATCCTATTGCCTTGTGAATGACTTTATTCCTACGTTGCATCAAGCACCGAATCCTACAAACTGCAGAGTATTTGGTTTGCAATCCCAGGCAGCCGGCAGCTTGTAGGGAACCTGGTTCATGGTAATGTTGATGCTCCCTGTACAGAACAACTCTTCCTCGAAGACCCTGGAGAACAGGGTGCGCTGATCGGTGGGTTTTTATTCTGAGGAACAAATATCAGTACACTCTGTTTGTGGACATCTGGGGCAGTTGAGAAGGCACATGGGGAATGGTTGGATTCGGGCACTATTAGAGTGGATTGTGATTTGCTGGCTGGAAGTGACGCAACAGGCAAAAATGATGACGCTCTTGTGCCAAGTGGGCCATATTTCTAAAAGAAAAAGAGATGCTTCAGTCGCAGAATCCCCAGGGTCCTGAAATTATCCCAGTCCTCCATGCCGTGGCTGCTTGCTTCGATCTGTTATGGTCTCAGTCTGAAAAGCTCTCGTCAGGAGCAGCCAAACAACTCCACTAGTTCCTTGAGAAGTCCTCTGCTCCTTGGGCCCCTGTGGTGCCCCGTGCTGTAGAGATGAGGGAGACAACAGACAGAAGGATCATTCTGTACTCAATCTTTCCCCTCCTCAGCCCTCCACCCTGATGTACCAGGGCAGGGGTTTATGTTGAGAGGATTGGATCATGGACTTGTGCAATGGTGCTGCTGGACAATTCATGAAAAGTTTTGGCCTTGAATAATGGTGGCTGTGAAATGCACTCGCTGTGTGATGGGAGTGCAGTTGGTCTAGATGCCACTTTGGCAGTGTAGCAATGACCCGAACAAATATTTTGTCACTGTGAAAGCCCCAACTATTTTGACTTGAATGACAACCTGGGACATTTCAGAGGTTTTCAGAGAATTTCGGCAAACACCATGACATAGATTGAAAAAACAAGAACATCCTAGCAAGACTGGGACATGTGGTTACTTTATCTTACTCTGTCTCATCCTGAATATCTTAGGATGCCTTGTGCACTTGAACTATTGACTTGAATCTTGTTGTCGGCTTCTCTAAGGAGGTGGAACAAAGCAGTCACCAGTGCACAGCAACTGCAAAGCTCATTGGGACGGGGGGTGTAGTCCTAGAGAGTGTTACACAGGAGGGCATTTATGCAGAGACTGCTGGAAGTTATCTAGGTCCCTTCTATTAAATCAGGGGTATCCAACTCATCCAGCCCTGCAGGTGTGCAGGCTGAACCCGACCAACTGCCTATGCAGCATTTGCAGTGCTGGGTCCAGTGCATGTGCCACACACAGTGGCCCTCAGGGCTGGCATGAGACATGCACTGCACACAGTGCGCAGGCTGGACCCAGCACTGCAGGCAGCACAAGGTTTGGTCCAGGTTACTGCATGAGGCCTATGCCCCAGACTGCCTGCACCATGGGCAGTGTGGGCCCTGTGCCAGGCCCAGGTGCCATGTACACAGCAAACACCCAGGCTGGTGCGTGCTGCTTGTAGTATGTGGCAATGGGTATGGCACATGGGCTGGACCCAGAGCCCCATGTGCTGTCTACAGTGGACAGGAGGACCAGGCACTGCGCATGGCACGAGGGGTCTGGGGTCCAGGCTACGTGTGGTGTCCCATGCGACCCACCTGTAGTGCGTGCAGCGCATGGGGCTCTAGGTCCAGTCTGTGCACCACACAGCATGCAGGGCAGGGGCCAGCACATAGGGCTGCTCCAGCAATCCACAGGCTGGATTGTGTGGCTCTGGGTTGGATCTGGCTGCAGAAAAAATGTTTGACGCCACGGTGCTAAGTGATTCTGTTCTCTTGGAGACAACCAGAAGGATATTGGCAAACTTTCAGAATGCTGAATAATGACAAGGTCTCTGGGTTTTGGTTTGACTTATGTGAAGCATAAATACAAAGTCGTGCACTTAGGATAGAACACTCCCATGCACCAGTACAGGCTGGGGGCTGACTGGCTAAGTAGCAGCTCTGCAAAAAAGGACCTGGGGGTTACAGTGAACAATAAGCTGAAGATGAGTCAACAGTGTGCCCTTGTTGCCAAGAAGGCTAACAACGTACTGGGCTGCATTAGTAGGAGCATTGCCAACAGATTGAGGGAAGTGATTCTTCCACTCTATTTGGCACTGATGAGACCACATCTGGAGTCCTGTGTCCAGTTTTGGGCCCCCCACTACAGAAAGGATGTGGACAAATTGGAAACAGTTCTGCAGAAGACAATGAAAATGGTTAGGGGGCTGGGACACATGACTTCTGAGGAGAGGCTGAGGGATCTGGGCTTATTTAGTTTGGAGAAACGAAGGCTGCTATTAAATCCCCTCTCAGTCTTCAGCTCCCTGCAGAGTATTTCCAAAGAGGATGGAGCTGGACTGCTCTGTGGTGGCAGATGACAGAGCAAGGAGCAATGAGCTCAAGTTGCAGCAAGGGAAGTTTAGGTTAGGTCAGTGGCAACATGTAGGGGATGCATGTGCACCCCCTGAGAACACCGGTGCACCCCTGACTGGCTGCGCTTGCTGCTTAGGTGATGGGCGGGGGGGGGCAGGCAGGAGCACCAGTGCCCCCCCTGCAAGCTCTGGCCGATTGCTGCAGCCCCTCCCAGAAGCAGCCGCACCCAGTCCCGGAAGCGGCCGCGGTGATTGGCCACAGCCAGAGCTGACCCGAGCAGGGTGTGGGGCCTGGGGCAAATCAGCCCATGCAGGGCACTGCCCCCTCTCCAATCCCATGGGCCTCAGACCTGAAGAAGCTGCCACTGCCACTGCCATTGGGGAGTGGTACTGAGCAGCTGGACCTGGAGCCACCGCTCTGCCTAGCTCCGCCTAGCTCTGCACCGCCACTGCTTCGCCCAGCTCTGCAGGGCCCCCCAAAGCATGGGGCCTGGGGCAGTCACCCTGATTCACCTCTCTCCTCCCAGGGATGGCCCTGGCTGCAGCAATTGACCATCGCAGGATTGGCCATGGGCAGCGAGATCGGTTGCAGGGACTCCCCCTCCCCAGTCAGTGGGATCGGCCGTGGGAGGGGCATGTGCCCCCCCTGACTAAGGCAGCAACAGTTGTCCATGGGTTAGGTATTTGGAAAAGCTTTTTCACAAGGAGGGTAGTAAAGCAGTGGAGCATGCTACATAGAGAGGTTATGGAATTTCCATCCTTGGAGCTTTTTAAGACCTGGGTAGACAAAGCCTTGGCTAGGACAGTATAGCTGGAAATTGTCCTGCTTTATGCAGGGAACTGGGCTAGATGACCTCCTGAGGTCCCATCCAACCTTAATTTTGTATGATTCTAAGCTCAAGAATCCTTGGTCTGGGGCTTTGGTTCAGTGCTAACTCTGAGATCCTCTTCATTACCTGTATTTCTTGCTGCTTTGACATTCATTTGGCTTAACCCTGCTTTACCCATGCATTGTGAGAGGAGCACTGCCAAATGTCTGCACACTCCTCTTGAGGTTCTCCAGGTGATTCACTATGGACAAGGACACATGAGAGAGCTCTTCCCTGACAGCCTGACTGCTTTCCAAAGGTTGTCTCTGCATGAAATGTGAGCTTTCCCAACCCAGAAAGCTAGATAGCAACCTTAGGATTTAAACCTCCTATCCACAGTCTCCTGGCACAATGAATAGAGATAATAATTGCTAGTGGCTTTGGAAAATAGAATATATGAGGCTGCAGCCTCTTATTACAATAGCCCCACCTTTATTCCTTAAGCCTGAGTTCAAGCACAGTTTGCTCTCTCCCTGTGTCATTGTAATGAAGCAGATTTAGAAAAAGGCCTGAATGCATGAACTGATGGCTGGCATCTTTTAATTGAAATGGAATAATTTGCTAGAATATGACAGGAGCACAAAGGAGAATTTTTTTTTTTTTGCAGAAGAAAAAAACAAGAAAATTACTGAATTTCACCAGAATTGTTTCATGCCACTGCTATTAAATGGGCTCCTCAGGACAGGCACTAGCCATATACTATCGTCTGTATTTGAGTAAATAGAGTGCAGCTGTTTTGTGCTTTGGTCTGCTTACGTAAATTAGCAAGGCAGAGCGTTATTAGGAGGGTGTCATCAGGGCTAAGTACAGACAGTCAAAACGCCTGAGGATGGGTCAGTTCAGTCTTCGCAAGTTAGTCTAAGCTGTGTAGTAGAACAGATAAGCAAGTGAACAAACATTTGCTTTTGATTCCAGAAATGCAGCCGCATGCTTGCAGTGGCCAGATGCCTCCCTGCTGGAGCAGTCAGCTTGGGGCAAGGATAGCCCCCCCCACCCTGCGAGGTGGGGGGGTGTTGTAGGGTAGGTGCAAAGTATCCTGGGATGCTGGAGGACTGTGAGTTAACTTGAATCTGGAAGGGATCTGGGACAGAAGTTCAATAAACCAAATTAGCCTAAATCAGTTAAGTCTGATACTGCATCCATCCGGGTTTATGTTAAACTAGTTTCAACCATTTTGAAAGCAAGTTATGTGTACTGAAGTTGTGCTACAGATTTGAACCGGTTTCTGATCACTTATATCAATTTATGTGTAATTTCTGTCCCTAGCTCAGGTGACACATTTCAACAGAGGATTGTGAAACAGTCCCAGCAAGGCCTAACAGTCGTGCTCAAAGGAGAGCTCACACGTTCAGAAAGCCCCCTGTCTCTAAGGCGAGGAATGGCAAAGACCCTTGGTGCC